TAACTTAATTATTATTCACATAATCACCCATAATAAAAGATCTGTAAATTTAATATTTTCCGAAATAAACACGTCAAAATATTATAACAGCCATTTAATAAGTGACTTGAGATTATACGAAAAACTCCCTACTCAAATAGAAAACTGTCGAAAATCTATAATTTTTAAGTTATTTTTAAAGAGATGGTTATTAAACAATGAACTATTACTATAAAAACTATTTTATCAAAAGTATAAGCTATAATAACACTTATATATATTTTATTTAAAAAAATACTATACGCTGTAAATTTTATTTTATTTTATAGCTTATTCATTTCTATTATTATTATCAGTTTTATTATTATATTTTTCTTAGTACCATATTTTATAGGAACTCTCGTTTATCAAAACAAGGGTTTTATCTTTAGTGATGAAGAAAGCACTGTATAATAATAATATATATAATTTAATTTGCGTAAACATCAATATTACTAAAATAAAATATAGATTATTGTTATTATTATTAAATTATAAAGTTATAAAATCAATAATGATGAATCATCTAGGGAATCAGTTATTTAAGATTTGGGTACACATTTTGAATCACACCATGAAACATACTAAATAAATCTTTTTTCATATTCTCCATTAAACGTATTAATAAAATGTATACTGGTACTAGGTAGATACAATAGTTTTATAGTTATAATATTATATCCTTTAACTATTATAATTGAATAGTTGTTTAGGGAAGTGCGTTGTTCATGCTTTATCATTGACGAAACCATATTGCGTGATAGGAAATTATTTATTGAATCACTTATTCAAATGTACATGTGAATATATAGGTATCTAACGATTAATGTATTATAAAATGATAAATGGGATAAGAAAGGCATTTGATCTAAAATGGTCTTTGAAATAATTTTTTATGACCTAATAGTACAAAAACAAATATAATTACCAATGAATAATAGATAATCGATAAAAAACGATGACGGGAGAATACTATATATTATATAAATAAAAGATAAAATATAATAAATGATGTACCTACCTTTATTAGCAATTGCCTCGTTGGTATGCAAATATGATAGGTGTCTATGTGATTGTGATGTATATTACGTTTGAAAAAATAAATCTGTTATAACAGAGAATCTGACGTAATAACCAATATATAAACATATAATATTCTGAAACAATAATTTTTTCATTTTAAACGCATTTTGTAATGTTTGATTGATCAGTACTCACTACTCAGTAGGTTAGGTACATATAAGTATTATTATATTTAATATTATTATTAATTATTTTTAATCTAGGTAGTATATTATACTAGCTGAATAAATGAAAAAATGAAAACATTTAAAATACGACACTATTGTGTACATGGGTAATTCAGTTCACGGGAAAATTGGCATCGGTGTAACAACCAACAGGTGTACCTGTTTTGTCAACTAATTAGACCAAGATTGGCAAACGGTCTGAAACGGATACACTTAGTGTATTTTTGAACTTGGTTAAAACTATCCTCTATGCTATTGACTGATATCTCTAAAAACAATTTTTGAAATTTTCATCAAAATAGGTCAAGTAGTTTTTGAGTAAACAAGTCACAAAAATACATTTATTTATTTATATATAAAGATAATATAAAGTCTCTTTTTTTCTGTAACTTATAATAACAGATACTTAAAAATATAAATAAAAATAATATTAGGTTTTTGTAATCTAAAACGAAATTTCTATGTGAATTACTTCTACAGTAACATAATATATGGGTTGGAAAATAAAATGAAAAACACTACTCAAGTCTCAAGAAATAGGTGTGCAAAATCTGGAGTTAATTGGTTTTATAGTTTTCGAGATTACTGAATACTATCAAAAGTACAATCATTAAAAAATCCGAGCTAAGTGAGTATTTTTATTTCTATCTGTTATCACTTTTTGAAGTAGCAAAAATGCTTCAATTTTAACTTTAAGAGTGGTTTCTGGTATCAAATTGTATGTAGTTGGTACTTTGAAGGTCAAAATAAAAAAATTATCAATTATTTTCAATAATTACAAAAATATACTAATAAATATATTTAATAAAAAATAAAAATAAAATAATACGAAAAACATTAATTATTATTAATAAAAATTAACCAACTTTAAATTAACCACGTCTAAACGGTAAAAATTATTAATAAATTTGAATTTGTTATTAAAATGATGAAATATATCATAGGTAGGTGTAAAAAAAAGGACAGCTATTTTTAATAAAATAATTCATAAATATTTTTTTGAATTTATTTACATGTCTAAACGTTCATTGTTTATTATAAATTTTCAATGATATTTATTAATTTATTTTGTTTAATGGTGTTTAAATTTTCGAAAATTGATTTCGTTAAATTGTTAAATATTTTTTTGTGTTATAATATTATGAAAAATGTTTTGAATCCATTGTTTAAAGTTAGAATTTTATCAAAATTTGTCAACAACTTGAAAACTTTAAAAAAAAAATATACTTATGCAATTTTTAATAACCATTCCTAAGGTTTAGTATTTTTTACAAGATTGTTCATAAATTATTGTTTATGGGAAGTTAAAGTTCAACGTAAAATCATAAATATTTTTTAAAAACCTGATATTTAAATTTCGACGAATTAGTTATTTACGTGCAAAATAACAATTTTCTTATTTTTTTGTTAATCAAAAATAAATAACCATAGATATTTTCACTAAATGTTTAAATTACCTATTTTTTTACATGGTATAATCACAGTATAATTTTCAAAATGATTAAATTCTTTTAGAGCTATTATTTTAACCGCTGCTCTTAAACGCGAAGTACACTAGTGTTTATCTACTTTTCCCCTTGTTATATATAAAGATAACCCTTAGAATAATTAATATTTCATCCCCAAAACTTGAAATTTCTCGGTTAGGTTAAATATTAATTAATAATATATTGAATATTGATCATCTATTCTATTCGAATAATTATTATCACTACCTTTAAAATTACTCTCCGTTTAATTTTATACTGGAATTAGATTCAAATCTAAATTTCATATCTGTATTCTGTACCTACTGTCATAATAAAGCAAATAATATTAAATCATGTCTTGTGCTTATTATACATTAATAATATTGCGAACATTACGATGCGATTTAATCATCATGACGTAATTGTAAATTGTTTCCATAAGTATTCATAAAAGTTCCTACCTAGTATTTATAATATGTTTAATATAAATGTAAATATGTATGTATAGGATATAATAATTATCATACCATAATGCATGTTTTCGAGTACCACGCTGCATAATCCATATTATATAATAATTAATAATATTATGGTATCTATGACACACGTATGACTTTGAATTGTTTTGCAATTCTTAAAGGATCACGATTTACGAGATGAATGAGGCCGTCAACAGCACTCGACATCATATATGACATAATATTATTATTAGCGATGAAGTATCGTATTGAAAATTGAAATAGTACTATGTATAAATAAGTACGTAATATATACTGACGTATACTAATTTATCAATAGTTACACTATGATAATCAGAGAACTCTACCGCATAGTATACGTCAAGAGTACCTCATAATTGAGTAGGTCATTAATACAGTAATACAGTATAATATAAGAATGTAATTAAATTTGAAATTAAAATTATTGCATACGAAAAATGATTCTAAATGGAGACTATCTGTCATTCTATATTAATTCTAAGGATGTTTAATTATACATTTATATTATATGCATATTATATAATAACTTAAAAGTAGTCTTGTATTACATTTTCAAGTTTTTTAATTTGCGATGACAAACATTTTATCATTCTTAAATCGAAAATAAACTAGAATAAAACCAACATATCGAATATCTTTAAATAACACAAAAAGAGCCAAAATGTTTTGAAATTTGTTTTGAAAAATGCTAATATAAAATATTTGAAGTAAAATTTAATAGTTATTATTTTTTTTATTAAAAAAAAAGACAAAATTGATTTTATTAAAATCTAGTAGAAAATATCTCCGTAAAAGTACCTTGTCTTTATGGCAATTTTGAAAATTACTGTAAAGTTTTTTTATTTTATTTTTTACTCCGCAAAGTATAAATCAGATCCGATTTTATTTTTTTTATCAGATGAAAGTGAAAACCACTTTTAGAGTTGAAGATTCACTGATTGAAACGTTTTTACTGCTCTAAAAAGTGCTGAAAGACACATAAAATTAAAAAAAAAAGCATTATTGTTGAACCAATACGTTCGTCGCTCCGTTCAAAATATAAAATATAATTTAATATAATTAATATATTACACATTAAATAGGTGAAACCCGAGTAGATACCTAACCCGTCAATAGCATGATACCTAGTTAAAAAAATCGATGGCTCCGCCTCCACAAAATAATTTACCTACGATGGCCCTTATACGGTTGCCTGAACAAACCAATATTATTCTAATACGTACACATACAAGCGCATACAGGCGCAAACACGAATACTAAAAAGTAAAAAGTCAACAGTTTCATAGTATGTGCGGTTTAAACAGGAAAATCTATACGTGTGTGATCTAGAGAGAGACAAAGAGTGCTAACCGACGAGCGGGAAATCGTGAAAATTTTGGCCATTACGTAAGCGAGAGAAAAATCGCGTGAGTGGTGACTGAATAATTGTGACTCGTGCGCGCAACCGACACCGTTATTGCCGTTATTGGTACAGTAGTGAAGTCACGGTACCTCGTTCGGTTTCCTTATCAGTCTCGCGAATACAATCGTTGTTATGATAACAATATGCCGTTCTGCCACAGCATTTATTTGTTCCGTGGTTCTACATTACAATAATATTATCATCTGTGAGATTATTCTGTTATCAATCTCTCGCCACCAGTGACCGTGAACTGGGTTCTCGTGTCGACCGTGGTACACACACTGCGTAGGTTTCCCACTATGGGAGCTCAAACGGCCCGTCGACCGAGTGACGCGAAAATTCTGTACCACCTACTACCCGCCGGGCGCCGTGACGTAAGCAACATGCGCCAGACACTTGTCCGCTACTGCCGCCGTTAATCGCCTCTGAGCTTGAAATCGATAACGGCAGTATTTATTGTAGTAGGCGTGTTAGATAAGTCGTAGCCCGTAGGTTTACGCTCGCCGCTCGCGTACGTCGCAGGTAGGTCGTAAATCGATAAAATAAAATTTTCGCTTTCCGTCGATGGTTTTGAGAAAAATAAATCATAATTCGTTGAACAACTAAGATGTTTGCCGTCCGAATTCCGGATCTCCTACCACTTACCGGCTCGGCGTGTTATTATCGTATCGACGATGACGGAATTATCGTTGTTGGTAATTATGCGTAGATAAAGAAAAGATAACATCATCAATAATTTATAATCATTGTTCCGTCCTCCGTCGTTGAGTTTTTTCTTCTCGTATTCCGCTGCTACTCGAATATTAGCTATTGAGTATTGTCAATAGATATTATCGTAAATTAGTCTGATCATCAGATTCACTATTTTCTTGACCCTACTCAAACGCAGTGAAAATTAGAAGATACTTTTTTTTTCGTCTATCTTATCAATATTTTCGTTCACGCTATGACTGCTGTTCCACCACCGATAAAATGCAATACGTTTTCAAGTACGATGGACTGAACTGAAGCTGATCCATTGGCACCACACAGCTGTTTGACGAAGAAGTTTCCAGTGAGTTGCCTAGTTTGGTACCTAGCTAGTTGTAGTATTTACTTAATATATTGAGGTGGTAGTTACTATTGTAAACGATTACGAGGAGTTAAAATAAATTTATTATTGAGATATGTCAGTAAAATAAGTGAATATATCCAACATGATATCATCTGAATGGGTAATATTAGAGGCCAATGGGTTGTATAAAGCTTGAAATAAACTGCTTCCTTGTGTGATACTTACTTTTAAGTATTTAATGCAGGAATGGAAAGCCTTTTTTTTCCCACCTTACATTTGTACATAACAGTTTATTTTCTAGGTATTGTTATATAGTTTTTGACTATTCTATAGGCTCAGAGCCGTCTTAAGGTTATGTAAGGCCCTAGGGCCTTTAAATACATACATTTTGATATATAGGTGTATACATATATGAGTACTTGTATATATATATATATACATATATACATTTTTAATACATTATTTATTAAGTACCTCTAAATATTTCTTCAGGTATTGGCAGAACTAAATTAGTTTATTGTTTAAGAAGAACAGTAGAAAAAAAGTCTATAAGTTTAGGTAAGAAATTTATGATTTTATTTTCGTTAAATTTTTTTACAAGTTTTTTTTGCCTCTTTGAAGAACCACTAGTATATAATCGCTTTGACATTTTGAAATGTATGATTTTTGTTATTACAAGTCAGAAGATCTATAAAATTTACAATTGTATACCATATTAGTATTGAATTCTAACTATCAATTTTAAACTAATCTACATATTATTATAATAAATTGAATATCTTATAATAATACTAATTACTAAGGAAATCATTATAACTAAGATTAATATATATTACGAAAACATTATTTAATCAATAATGGAAACCGTTCGTAAATTGTTATTTTTCAATTTAATTAAGTTTGTAATTTATCGATTTATAATTATCATAATAAAGAAAATAATAATTTATATTAAATTAATGTAAAATTTACTTATACAAAATCAATTCAATGATGTAATCCTTTTTGAATTCAAAATAAAATCTACAAGAATCAAAAAGTTTAATATTTTTACGGATTGTGCAGTGTATGTGTCAATGTGTGTCCAACTGTGAGCACACAGCCAGCGCGACAATGATGGTGTGTTACATCGTCACCATAGCTTATAAGATAAGATAGATTTTCAAATTTAAAAATAATACTCACAATAATTCTAGGTAAAATAATCGAAATTACGATAACATAGCTATACCATACGTTAAAATAATGTACGTGTTACCGTATCTTAATTTAAAATATAGAATTAGATTTCCATTGATTCTTTTTATTGTATAATTTTTATTTAAAGCTGATTTTACATTTTTTTGTTCAAGATTTATATTATAAAAATTTAACAAAAAATGTAAAATATTATATTTTGAATATTATGTAATTTATATGAATTTGGGGGCCCTGGGCCTGGGTCCAACAGGCCCATGCCTTAAGACGGCACTGTATAGGCTAGATTTATAGGACAAATACTTATTATTTTTTCTATGATTCTTATGAGGAAAGGCAAGAAATTGATGGGATGATAAATAAGGTTAGAAGTATGATGGTTTTTTCCAGCGAATATTTAACAATTTGATTAGTAATATTAGGCTGGGTGATTTTTATATGGTATATTTTTAATGATGAACTGAATTTCTGATAGGTAGCTATATGTTTTGTAGGTAAGCATATATTATATAAAAGAATATAACTAATATTATCTTTAGCACCAATTTTAAATTTTCCATCATACCATTAACTAACTATGAAAATATTTAATATATAGATTCTATTAAATTTTAAATATTTATCTTTTTAAATAATAAATTATCTATCCAAACATATCACATAGGCTTTTCTTTGTAATCTTATGGTTTTAAACTAAACAATTTAAAATTATCACTAATATTTTTATTTTATTAAATTAATTAATTTTAGTTAAATAGTTTGGAGGTATCTTATTAATTTAGTTAAAGCTAAAATAATTTTGTAAATATATTTTGAAAAGAATTGGTGTATTGTCGGTCCAAAGTTATTTGTAGCATTAAGTCTATTATGTTTAATATATCTAATGTAATTGGTATAATATGTTCAATATTTTTACTGTTTTGATGTATAAGTTACATCATCTAGTAGTTTGTATTGATATTAAGCCATCTTTTCATGTATATTCAATTATTGACTATTGCATATATATACATAAGACAAAAATATATTTGATGAAAACGGGACAAAAAAAATTCTTCATAATTGTTATTTTAAACAAAATTACATATTATTATTTTTATACAGAAAAATAAATAAAATTAATTAATTATTAATAAGCATCTAAATAATTTTTATCATAGATATTTTTTTTTTTTTTTGGTATTTTTCTGTTATCCCTACTACCAGCTGTTGCTGAGATTATTGCCGGTTTAATTCCGTTATCTGAACTATACATGTTGGCGATCATTGTCGTCAGCACTTTTAAGCACTAATATTAGTCATATCTAACCGACGTTCAAAAAAATTATTTTTTTCCTTTTGGGGCTTTGCTAAATGGAGAAATAAAAAGTATAGGGGACCAGACACCATCATTTGGAGTCTTATTTAGCAGAGTTTATTTGGAAACACAACTTAGGTATGGAGATTCATTCGATTATGTATTTAAAGAAATTTGAAAAATTGGTCACCAAAAATTGAATTTTAGACTTAAGTAGATTAGTGTTATTCTCAGATAATAATTTTTTATGTTTTATATATATATATATATATATATATATATATTAAAGACTCCACTTTTATGATAATAAATGTTATGTTATACTATAATATACATTTATGTTTATATAAATGACTAATTCATGTTGGTTGAGACTTTGAGGAGGTAGTTAATATAACAGAATTAGATAGTCGTAGCATCTATGTGGTAGTTGAGATAACGAAATTGAGACTCATGGTAATCGGGTTAACAGAAAAGTATCTTTTTTTATATAATAATTAAAAAGAAAATTATATAATAGCATAGTTTTTTGTTGGATCAAATTTATTTTAATATTTTGGGCAGCAAATTCTGAAAAAAGTAAAATTCTGGACAAACCTAACCTTAGATATAATAAAAACAATTGGTCAACAAAAATTAATTGTTGTTATATTTTCATTATCTACCATTTAAAATAGTACATTTTAGTGTCTTGAAGATTCGGTATTCTTGTCGTATGCGGTCTACCATACATCCACACACTTTTTATCTACTAATGATAATTTTCAACGATTCAACAACAATGACAATTAAGTTTTATCTTAACGATGTGATTTCTATATCAATAATAAAACTTGGGTCCTTCCTGCCAAAATCGTGACTGTAGTCGTAAACATGTAAGATATCAGTTCAGTTTGTGCTGTAATACCTACGTGATCCGTTATTCTTCAGTTTATTTACTGCACTTTTTAACATTATGTTAGCCAAACATTACGTAGGTATTAAAAGTATGTTATAGTCTGTATATGATGCAGTAGCGTAACTGAGGGCCCGCAGACGCCGCGCTGTGGGAGAGAACATAGTAATTTGGGGCCTTTGGTTATAGGGTTATATTTGGTATAACAATATTTTTGCGAGGGGAGCCCAAATTTTTTTGCTACACCACTAATATGACGTATAAAAACATGTGTGGTAGACGGTAAGTGTGCGATAGACCGCATATGACATGTAGAAATGTGAGATAGACCGCATACGACAAGAATACCTAAGATTCTTATTCCTTGGGGATAACGGAATAGAGTTACAAAACACGAGAAGTAATGAAGTTATCTCAAGTAAACAGTATTTTAAAATGTAAATTATAGGTATCATTCATTTCTAGTGTCTTTTGTGTATAATATAAGTTAATGAAATAATGAAAATAATTATGTATTTATGCATTCATTATTTTTAGCAAATAAATTAACTTATTGTTTTAAAAAAATAATTTGAAAATAATTTTAAGAATAAAGCCAAAAAATTTTAAAGCAATTAATTTAAAATATTTAAAAAAAATTGTTGAGAAAAAATATTGATTGTAAATATGTGAAAAGTTAAAAGTGAATCTTCACTTGGAATCCTCTATTAGTTGCTAATAATATGCTTATTACATATATATGGTATATTATTTCCTGTTGATTTTTCATTATATTAAAATAAGTGTTTTTTTAAATTATGTTAAAAATTAGAGTCTTAAGCCTAAGTGTTTTATTTGGGATGTTATAATCAATTCAATAAAATAGGAGGCTTATTCATGTTCCATTTTTAACAATATTAATAACATTTAAATTTTGCAACTTACTATTGACATTAAACATCTTCAGATTACATTAAATGATTCATCCTAATAATAGTTATTTTTTATCATAAATTATAACTTATGATTGGTATGTTATTTTTATTGTTACTGTTATTATGATCATTAAAATATTTATTAATTTTTATTTCTGTAAATTTATAATTTTTTTTAACTAATTATGGTAAATCAACTAATAAATGAACTAAATATTAATTTTAAATAATAATTACTGTATATCAGTTTTTAAATGTCCAATTTTTAATTAGATAGTTTATCAAATTGTTGCATATAATTAGTTATTACTTAATAAAATGTATAATTATTAATTGATTTAAGAATATTTAATGCTTATTCTTATCTTAAGCTGTATTTAAATAATCAGTGAATTATAACTATTTCTTGATCTAATTTTTAATACTTGTATTACCAATCTATTGCTCTTATTTTGTTCTTTATAAAGGGCATAATATCTTATTTTGTCGCTTGAATTTATATTTTTAATATAATTTTTATGTTAGACTGCTTAGGTATATTATTTAATTTTCAGCACAGCTTTTATAATTTTATCAGTTTTTCATTTATTTTTATAGGAATATTAACTGAAGATGGATAATAATATATTTCATGAATTTAATGGTGCTGCTAGAGATAAATGTAATTATTATAATCGAACGAGAAATAGACTTCTTATTACAGCTTATGAAGGAATACCTGAAACCCTTTTACTCAATGCCTTAGGGTGTGTTGTAAGTATAGATATTTAAAAATACTATCTACAATGTGAATTAAATTTTATAATGTATGTTTCAGCTTTTAGTTTTATTTTTTGCATTCATGAGAAAAAGAGCATGGGATTATGGACGTTTAGCATTAGTTAATAAAGATTATGAAAAGTAAGGTTTTAAATTAATAACACATTTTTTAAATATTTATATAATTTTAAATAATTATTTGTTTAGGTGGTCTCGTATATTTTATGGTACAACTGATGAAAGTTCAGAAAATAACGTTGAGGATGGTAATTCTACGACTACATTAGACAACTCAATGCCTGTAGATAGAGGTTTATTTTCCTGGTTCTTAACAATTATACAGCTTAGGTAATACAATACTTTTTAAATAGAACATTTTTTTGTAATTTGAATATTTTGTATTATACAATTTTTAGAGATGATAAAATTTTACGTAAATGTGGTTATGATGCTGTTCAATATTTATCATTCCAAAGACACATAATGGTATTAATGGCTATAATTACTGCAGTTTCATTAGGTGTGGTACTACCAATCAATTTTGCTGGAGATTTAGAAGGTGATGAAAGATCATTTGGCCATACTACTGTTAGCAATCTTCATCCCGAGTGAGTTATTCTATTATTACTTACAATGTTGAATCACATAATTCTTAAGAGAATGTAAATACACTTTTTGTTTTATCTCTCTAGTCTACACGCAACAAAAATAAAATAAATTCACACAAAATATTTATTTTTTAAATTTTTGAATTATCTTAGAATAAAATTACCAATACTAAGAATTATAGAGAAAAATATTTTTAAGGATATACATCATGGATTTTTCTTGATATTGTCTCAAAGCAATCTAATATTCATTTAATTATTACAATTAATCAATACATTTTATTTTTTCTCGAGTCGAATAATAATAATAAAATATGTCAAATCCCCAAAAGTAATACCTTCTATAATTTTTGTAACAATTGGTTTTACTCAAGGATTTTTTTAAAGTTATAGAAACAATTATTTATTAATATGTTTTATCTGTTATGCGTAGTTAAAAAAAAAAAACAAATACTACGCTGACATCTTCTAAAGATGTGTATAGGTGAGCATTCACATTTGCCTAATTAGGTGGTATTTGTGAACATTTATTTGTGTTGTTGAATTCTTTTCTCAAATAGTTATCATGGATTAGGTTTAAACAAATGCTTTAAACCCAACAATATGCATTGCAGCATGTGTATATACTTCCATTCAAAAGAACATAATATGAATATATTTATATGTTAAACAACAAATTTTTATTGTGCTCTTGCCTGTATATACTCTCTAGTTGAATTAAAAGAATTTTCTTAGTCAACATTGTTTTTAAGTCTAAATTTCAATTTTTGGTGCCTTTAGTTTGGTATTAACTTTATATATGTACTTGATGTATGTATTTCATTTAAAAAATTTTCATTTCTAGTTCACCTTGGTTATGGGTACATGTGACTATAGCCATGTTATATTTTCCATTAACTATTTGCATAATGAGAAGGTTTTCTGTAAATCTTAAATTAGAAGAAAATGGTGAATGTTGGTCACGTACGTTGATGATAACAAATATTCCTAGACGAAATTCTGACATTAATGATATGGATCGACATTTTAAGTCAGTATCATTTTTTTCAATATTTATGCTAATTGTTAAAAATTATGTATCGATTTATATAAAATTATTTTTAGAGAGGCATATCCGGAATGTGAAGTAGAAAATATTCAGCTTGCGTATGATGTCAACAAAGCTAATGAGCTAGATAGAGACAGGTATGGATTATTATATAAATATTAAAGTAATTTATAAGTTTAATTTTATTGAAGTTACTTGTTTGCCATAATAAAACTGTTTTTACATTACATTTATATAGATAGTTACATTTTTGATGTTTCATTTATTATTAATTATCAATTTTTCATATGTTTAGAAATGCTGCAGTTCAAGCTAAACAATATTGTGAAAACCATTTAAAAACTGTTGGTGAACGTCTTACAGTGCAACCTCATGTTTGTGGTTATATTTGCATTTGTTGTGGTTTCTGTAGTTCTAATAATTTAGATGCCATAGATTATTATTCTCAAGAAGAAACTCGACTAAAAGCAGAAGTAAGTAGTTAAAAATTAATAATTCTTAAAATATTGGTTATTTCTTGATTTAGTCTTGATAAAATAATCTTGTTTAAAAAAAAAGTATTTCATAATTTTTATACTTCATTCATGTTTAAAAATGACCTGAGTATTGACCATTATTTATTGGCGACATGCAGATCATATACATTACTATTTCTCCTATTTAATCAACTATTAGTAATATAAACATTTAAGATACCAGACTTATATGCAGAAGTCGGCCATCTGGGTTCCTAAAAGTGTTTTGAATGTACAGTTAGTAAAAGAACCTATTTAATCAATTAACACCTATAAGCATATCATTTAAGGACTGTTTATTTTACAAACTGTATTTTAAACAATCTATTTTTTATCCCCAATGATGTTTACACATGCTATTCATACACTAAATGTATTCAAACCGAATACACAACATAATTATGTATGATGTGATACAAAATAATTTAAAACATTAACTCAATAGTACAAATGTTGTTCATTATGTGTGACTATTATTCTTATAATTAAAATTAAATTAGTAGACTACATGACTTTATAAATAGACTGTATATTATCTAGTAGTGTAATAATTAATACTTATAACTTTTTTTTAACAACAGAATAGTTATTGAAAATATATAATTAATTTAACATGGTATAGGAAATTTGAACATAGCATTATCTTATAAAGATTAATATTTTGTAATTACATTTTTCTCTAATAAAAGATTTATTAATTTCAACAGTTTTATTAAAGCACTGTAAACGTCACAAAAAATGGTTAAACCAGTCTCCTATGTTATTTAATGATTGTGCTTTAAGTTAATATACAAAATATGTGAGATAGAAAGAGCTTTAAATTACAGCTTCTATTTATATTAGTGTATGTAAAATAATTATATTAATTTGTCAAATAGACTAAAATGTCTGGTGCTTTATGATGCTAATTTTGAATATTTCTTTTGAAGTTAATCTTTTTTTTCACACATATATTTTTATATCAATGATACACAAATACTTTATGCAGTTTGGTAAAATATTAATGTTAGTTTTTAATTTATAATTGAAAGGAAAAAAAATAAGTTAAGTTTTTAGAGTTATTAATTAACTCAGTTAAATCCCTTCAATTTTATCACAATTTGTACATGAACACAAACCTACTAACAAGAAGAATACTCACTGTGTTGAGAAAGATACATAGTATAAAATATAACTAAGATAAATTCAGCAGTTATTTTATAACCAAATTATATATTACGTAAATCCAATCCAGTGATTAATGTATTATTATAAACCATTGGTCAATCAAAATTTTGCGTTAGATGACTTATGTCATTGTAAATTGTATGGTTGATTACATAATGTTAAATATTTAAATTTATATAAAGATACAGGTTTCATAATGGTTCTAAAAATTACTAATAAATTTCAGTAATTATGATAAATATTATAATAATTGGTATTACAGTTACATATAATCTACCTAGCGTAAGAAATTTACTTTATAGCATGATTATTATTTACTATTGATATAATTAAAATAAATAAGTCTTGACAATTTCATTAATATAAAAAGACTAAACAAATTATTAGAGCTATCAGAGGAATAAAAATGCTTGATTTTGCAATATATTTTGTTTTGTATTATTCATTTAAATTTTAGATTTATAATTTTTTTGAATGTTGAAATTTTAATACTATTAGGTAATGCGAATTATACAATCTTACAATTCCTCAATTTAATTGCGAATTTAATGTGTATCGTGTAAAATATCCTGTGATTACTTAGTAAAAGGTCTGAGTTGTTGATAATGGTCTAGGGCCACATGTGACTTGCTTGCTAGATTCTTATGCAAATGTTTTTTAGATAAAACATTGATTTTGTGTACAAGAATAATGTTGGTTAACCTGGGACCAGAATCATTTTACAATGATCACGGAACAAGATGAGGTTATTTTTGTAGATATTGAATATGATAATTTAAAAACAAAATAATTGTATTCAAAATTATTAATTTCTAGAGATAACTAGATACTCGGTAGAAAAAGTAACATGATTGATAAACAGATTATTATTACTTAACTGGTATTAGCTATCTATTAATATTTGTATTTAGTTATATATTCATAGCACTATATTATATTCTTGTATAATATATAAGTTACTTATTTTTTTTAATTTATTAATTGTTTTTAGTTAGAAGCAGAAAAAGAATCTGCTTTAAAAAGACCTCTGGGTATAGCTTTTGTAACTATGACAACAATTCATTCAGCTAGACTCATTCACCAAGATCATGTTTACAAATTATCTAAATGTGGCCGTCATAATCCACCTACCAGTTCTGTAGCAGGTTTACTTCAACCTTATCGTTGGAGAGTAACTTTTGCTCCGCCACCTGATGATATATTTTGGTAAATATTTCTTACTATTTATAATCTGTATCTTTTTACATTATCCATATTTTAGTTATTTTTAATTTTTTAAAGATTAATTATTATTTTAAGTGATAAATATAAAGTACATCAATTATACAAACAGTATTGTGTCTGAAGTATAATCTATTTATACAGTAATGAACAGTATCTAAATTAAATTAAAATAAATATTCAATCAATCATATATGACTATGTATTACACATGTAAGCTCCTATAATATTAGGTATACATTTTATACTGTATAATATAATGTTAACTAGATATCCACTATCTGGGCTTATCTTTATTACCTATGATAGTAAGTATATGGTTTGTAAATCTATTTTTTTGAACTCAATACACATTGATTGTTAAAAATTGAATGTCCTAAAATATGACCTAATTTATAATGCATTATTATGACTCATAATTAGCAATGAAGTGTCATATTATGAGATAAGACAATGTCTATCCACTTAAAATACAGAAAAATAATTTAAATATTAAATAAAATATTTATTTTACAAATTAAAGTGTAATAATTATATTGTATATAATACAATATATTATTTGTCAACATATTCTTTTTTTTTCGTTATACTACTATGATATTCCAAGAAAAGTTTCAGGCTGCACATGTGAACTGTCAGTAACAGATATGGTAGGCAATTCCAGTAAACATTAAAATAAAATATAAAAATAATTATAAAACAACATATTATAATGTTTAATTTTTTTGAGCATGTTGTCCAGGGAAAGTATATGGGAATTATTGTTGTATTATTCAACGTCTTACTGACTTACGCTTCACTATACTCATAACAATTTATTATTAGTTAAGTTTTTCTTATTTGGTTAGTAATTTATATGTGAGTGATTTTACCTGCTATATCATATGTGGGTACTTACATTTGACTTAATTAACCTATAGACATTAAGCTAATTAGGGTAGAACCTTCTTGTTGATTTTAAATATGTAATTTTTATACATTGTTATGGTATTGAATGAAAGTTTGATTTTTTTGTAAAGATTTTTAGATTTATTTATTAAAAAAGTTTGAAATATCAAAATCCATTTAAAATTTTTGTGTTGTTTTAGAAGATAATTGATTAGTATAGTTTTTAATTGGTTTACATTTAAAAATCATTTTAAGAATATTACTCATTCCTATTTTTAATTATATAATAAATACATAATTAATTTTGTTTTTATAAATAATTGGTTATTGTTGTTTTTTTGTTCTAGGGAAAATTTGACTGAACCATCTCACAATCGATACTGTAAAATTGTATTAACTAATTCATTTTTAGTGATAGTTTTGTTTTTTTTGACAACTCCTGTGATTGTTTTAAATGTTATGGACACACTTAAGCTTAGAGAAATTGAAAAAGCTGTGAGTTTATATTCAGTTTTTTTTTTAATGACGTTCTTTAAATTGTTTTATAGTTTTACTCTAAAAATAAATTATTTTTATTTTTACTAGAGCCCTATCTTATCAGAATTTATGCCTACGCTGTTGTTGTGGACTGCTGCTGCATTATTACCGGTATTAGTTATAAGGTCTGATCAGTGGCTTAGTCATTGGACAAGATCTAAAAGAAACCATTCCATTATGCGCAAAACATTTGTTTTTCTTCTATTTATGTGTTTAATACTTCCGTCATTGGGATTAACAAGGTAAATAATAAAAGTAATCAAAAAGTAAATGAAATAAATTCAAAACAGTTATAATACAAATTGAATGCTTAATTTATTTTTAGTGCTCAAGCATTCCTTATGTTTGCTTTTCAAGCAGGCATTGAGACTTATCGTTGGCAATGTGTGTTTTTACCTGATAAAGGAGCATTCTTTGTGAATTATGTTGTCACATCTGCTCTTATTGGAACTAGCTTAGAACTCATACGGTTTCCAGAACTTTTTATGTATGCTCTCCGATTATCATTATCGAGGTATGTCAAATATTTAGTATTACCTCAACTATAATTTAAATGTTATAAACTACCTCAATTAATATGTTTTCTAATTTAATGGTATTATCAATAAGCCAATGATTACTAAGTAAAAGGTCTGAGTTAATGATAATGGTCTAAGGCTGTATCTAAAATAATTTATTTTGATTATTTATTTAATTCTATAAAAAGTCTTAGTGTTAGTTTATAGATAATAATTAAAAAAAAATTAAAACTTGCTTGCTAGAATTTTTTTAAATTAAGTCTATATTTATTTAAAATACTAGCTTTATATGCAAGGACAAGATTGGCCTGTGATCAGACTCATTATACAATGATCACGGAATGAGATGAGGCTTAATTTTATAAATATTGAATTAAATCAATATATGTGTCATTTAAAATCTAAAATACACTTAGCAGCAAGTTGTGCATCTAAATGTTGTTGTGTGTAATGTATGTATTATAAATTTGGGATTATTTTATAAATTTTTTTCTATGTTTTCAATAGCTATTAATGTTTATAAATTACATCTTAAAAATTCTAATCTTGTTATTTTAGTCATGCATATAAATAGGTAATCAAACCGGATTGTCAATGCTACCAGTATTATTTTAAATATTTAATACTGTAATTAAATAATTTATGTGTATTCTAGTCACAACATAAATTAATCAAAATTATTAATGGTTCTAATATTCATTTTTTTGTCAATTTATTATAACTATCTTATAAATTAATAATTTATAGATCAAAAGCAGAATCTGCTAGTGCTAGAAGATTAATTCTTTGGGAGTTTCCATTTGGTGTACAATATGCTTGGATGTTACTTATTTTTTCAATTGTGACAGTATATAGTCTTTCCTGTCCTCTTATAACGCCCTTTGGTAAAAAATATTTAAATAATACTAATTAATATTACATATTATAAAATAAATGGTTTATTATTGATTTTAGGTCTACTTTATATGGTTACTAAACATTTTGTTGATCGCTATAATATATATTTTGCTTACGGCAAATCTAAAATTAGTAAACGTATACATAGTACAGCTATAAATTGTGTTATGGTTTCAATAGTACTTTTACAAGTAAGTTTCACTTCACTGTCAATGTTGCGTCACGGACTTCATGATATTACTTTATTTGCCTTGTTTGGACTAATAATAACATTAACATTTACATTATCTCAATGTTTCTTCCGACACTGTACTGCATGGAGTCCTATACTTTATCAAGTAAGTTAATTTTATGAATCTTTATTATAAGGTTATTATTAGATCAGTGTTGGGTGGTAGTAATGTAATGAAAGCAATGTGTTACTGTAATGGCATTACTTGCTTAGTTATGTATCATGTAATTTCATTAGAACTGTTTTCAAGTAACAAAATTGTGATAGAAATTACTCTAATAAATAATTCTTAAAATATAGCATTTTATTGGTTTAATTTTTTTATAGTTACAATTATTATAAAAAATAAAATATCCAGAAAAAAATAATTCTATAATATATATATATATATATATATATATATAATTTTAATCTTCACAATTCAGTTTTCAATGGATTTAATCGTAAGTTAAATCATTTAAAATTTAATTAGATTTTTCAAAATACACTGAACGTTTCTTATTTAAGTATTAAAACTATTAACTATTAGTTATAAATATATAAACAATATTAACATAATATGTCATAATGCAAATTTAGTGTGTACAATTATTTTTCTTTGTGAATATAGTTGTTTTAAAACCTGAGGCTTCAAATGTATAACGTGTTTAGAATCGACGATAAAAAGTTATAAATGAATAATATTTTATGTTATTAAATAATAAATAATAGAGGACAAACTTAGTATAGTAGGAGATAATACAATTGAGTTTTGGGTTTAATAAATAATGTTAATAATACTTATCGTTGTTTTAATACAATTACTTTTAAGATTGAAAAGTAAAGTTATTTCATTACATTAATTTCTAAGTTAAAAGTAAAGTAACTTACCCAACATTACATTATATATTGAACTATATAATATAAAATACATTTTAATATCTTAACATTTTAATTAAAGGTTAGAAATCCACGTACAGTCCAACCAAGTCCAGCAAGAAGACGTGATCATTCACATGGTTTTGACTATGTCCCTGAAGTATTACGTCAACCTTTGCCACATACAGCAGCAAATTCTTTAATTACGTTGACACCAAACGATTCTGGTACTACATTGGATGACTTGGAAATTGAGATGAAACATAATGATGATAGATCAGATTTTCATCCCCAAACTAAAGTAACTATAGAATCTCAAAATCACTGTGATCAACTATACCAGAATTATGATTATAGTCAAACAGTTCCTGTATAATAAGGTAGAAAACTGTGATTTTAATTTATATAGTAACAAAATTAATATTATATATCCATACTTATTTTGCAGAAACATGTTCCATATTTACTTTTGGTTATCTTATTTCACATTATAGGTAACTAGTTTTGTATTGTTATTGAAAATTGTACATGCTGATATTAGAGACATTATTATAATATACTTCTCAAACTTGAATTACCATACCATATTTTCATGATATAAATTACGTCCTTTTGACTAATATACTTACACAAAACTGTTTTTGGATTTAATTAGTAAACGCAGTTCTTATTTTAATACATTTATATAAAATCAGAAAAAAATACAATTTTAAGTATATTAATTATAATGTTTCATGTATAAGATCATAAACATATTTTCATTATCAAAAGATTATGTACATATTATAATTTTTGATGCTGTATAAATATATTATGCTTGTATGAGATTTCTTTAAAATTATTAATTTAAAAAAATAATTTTACCCTTGATCAGATCATAATCAGTTATTATTCTTTATATATATATATTTATTTAATATATATTTGTTTCCTTTTTTTCGTGAACATAAAACAGCTTACATTAAAAGTACAATTTTTTAATTAATTATATGTATTACTTAAATAATTATTATTTAACATTATAATCCACTTAACTAATAATGTATTACATCACATGATAATTTTAAAAATTTCTGTTTATGTATGTTAATGTACATATTACATGTATTTACTACTACTAAATGTTAAACAATTCACTTAAATAAAATAATGCATACTATTTTTTTTTTTTGCCTGAATATATGAATGATATGATATTTTATTTTTTATCTAACAGGAGTAAATTTTAAAAACCATCAATTTGAAATGCATATTTAAATTAAAATAATTATTAACACATTAATAAATCAACCAAATAAAATTTTATGATTTTTATAAATCATTTATCGCAATAAAAATTTAAACGATATGCTTAAAACGTGCATGATAGTAATTGAAAAATAGCAATGATAAATTATGTGCAATACAATTATATTTATTTTGTTTGACTTATTATTTTATTCAGAATACATCGATAAATAATTGTACAATTAACTTGATCTCTGTGAAAGCTTTTAAATTATTCTTGTCCTTGATGGGTTGTTATTTACTTAATACGAGAATTTTATATTATCTTGTTTTCATTGTCCACATTAATTTTGAATAATTTAACAAAAAGAATAAAAAGTTTAGGAGTTAAACAAATAATTTGATAGTTATTTATTTTATGTGTTAACAAATTAATTTGTGTTCATTGAACTTGCCTTTTATTATTGTTTTGTAACCAATAATTATTCAAACTCATACTGGCTCATAATTGTAATAAGCAATATTGTTTTAAATTTGTAAAAAAATTTATTATAATACTATGAATAATGTACTTATAATAGTATATAATTGAATATTATAATCATACTAACACCACAATTGTATGTGATAAACTTTTTACCAAGGCTTATAGTATTAATGAAAAAATGTATTGAAATTTTACACATTTTTATATCTAGACAATAATATATTAAATTGTGTAGTGTGTTTCTAGTCTAAAAAAATACATTGTTAAAATAATGTAGAGCAAGCTATTAACTATATTTTTTAGTATTAAAAACTTTATGTTTGTACTTATATCTGTTTTGATTAAACATTTTGTGACGTCTGTAATATATCATAATTATGTAATTTCTTCACTATCCCATATTTTTTTTTCAAACTTAGCGGCAATTATCATACTTTAATAACAGAATATATGTAAATTTACTAATAAACAATAACATTTAATCAAAACATTATCCTATATCGGATAATCCTTATTGTATATTTATAAACATAATAACATTTATATTTTTATTTTTACAGTCAAATTTATAGCTTTTTTTTTTTTTTTTTATGCATAAAATAATTATTTTGTGTGTTTTGTTAATGTTTTTAGAATCTCTTGAATAAAAATATAATAATTTTATTATGTAAAGCATTTAAATAAAAAAATATATATATTAAAACTAATGTATTTTTTAATTCACTGAAATATTGAATAAATGTTTATAAATTCAAATTGGTAATCAATTCCTTGTCATTGCATAATTGTTTATTTTATGAACATTGATTTTCTGACTGTTGGTTATTGTAGTTATTATTGATATGGCTCTTGCTAAAAAAAAAAAAGATAATACACTAGGATTATAAGGCCATGTTTGCCGTGTATATTAAATTCCCTAGATATTGTCGCCATTTACAAGTGTATAAAATAACAATGTATGGCAGTTCTTATTTAATTTTTTAGTTTTAACAAAGCAGATTGGAACTATGGAGCCTGTACTCATGATCATAAAATGGACTCATTATGTTCGAATTAAATAAGTCCTACTAATACGTGCAACATTCAGTTAGGTTTTCATTAATTTCATTACAAATGTTAAATTATAATAATTAATATTGATAAGTTAATATATTATTTATAGTATATGTTATTATTTTACTTAAAATTTAAATTATTTTGTTGTAGATAATTATATCTACATCTATCAAAAATTATAAACATATACTTAGTAAATTCAAATTATGTATTCATAGCTTGGAAATATTGCAATAAAAAAAGTTTCACCGAATGCTTACATTTTTAAAGGTACTTAATATAGCTACAGTTGTAATCTACTCAAAGTACTTAAGTAAGTACATAATATATAATAAACTGAAAATAGTTTCTATTATTAGGTAATATTATCAACTTAAAATTAAGATTAAAAAAATTATTATATAGGTAAGTATATTAGTCACTGTTATTATTTAATGTAATACATTGAAATATTAAACAGATGATTTTATTTGTATAAAATGGTTTGGTACTCTAAAAAATTCATGAATAATATCAATATCAAAATTGTATATCTAGTTGTAGTACAAATAAAATATTAACTATCCTAATACTAAAATTTTAGTTTTAAGTTAAATATTTAGCTGATTTTCTACATGACTTGGTTTTTTTCTACAAATCTTTTATGAATTACTATACTGTACTTCTAATATAAAGTTTTGAAATTAAATAACATTTTTAATTGCTTGTTTTAAAGTTAATAATTAAACAATTATTGAAGTTTGTGAAAATAGTTTTTTTTTACAGCTATAAGAATATTATAACATATTTTCATTTAATTTAATTTATTTTATGTAATATGTTTTGAACAATTTATTTATATACACTTACAGTACTTACACACAACATAACATACTAAAACTGATAACACTTATCTAACCTGTTGGTATTGAGTGAACATTTATTGTTATTTGTTATTAACTACTCAATTGAGCAATGAAATTAACATTAAAAATAATACAAATCTCTTAGTTAATTTGGTTGTGTGATAATTCTATTGTTCAATAATCTGACTAATAATTTCAATTTTTTTCATTATAATCATAAAATTACTGTCATAAAAGATAAAAATAACTGATTTCGTTCAAAGGAATCAATTTTTATTCAGTTAAGCTTGACGTGTTATGCATGTTTATTGTTTATTGGTTGATTATTGTGTTTTATTATATATTAAATGACTGCAAAAAAATGATAATTTTTTTAAACCGATGAAAAGATTAATGCAACGCAGTAATAAATTACTGTGTATATATGATTTATAATATGATTGAATAAAATAAATTAATGTTATGCAATAAATAAAAATGCGTTGTTATGTGAATCTTCATTAATCCGACGTTTTTGTTAATCTAGCAATCCTCGGGTCTTGCTGGATTACTGTGAAACTACTGTATTACATTATAAAATATTATACAATAAATATTATTTGCTTTAATTTCTATTTTTTCTGTTTTATATTAATTCATATTATCAAACACGTTACACGTTATATCATTCATTTAACTCCAGTGGTCTGAGTGAGATATTTTACCCATAGTTGCATGTTATTTACGCATGTGTATGTAGTGATGTTCATTTTAATAACTGGAAGTCGATTAGTCATCAAAAAATATTATAAATTTCTTTTATTTACAAATTGTATTTGGAAACATGTCAATTGAAGGTATTAATATTACTAGAAAAATGTAATAACACTTAATTGAAGTTTTTAAAAATGTAATAAGTACATACTTTTTTTAATACAAAAGTTTCTGGTTATAAACCTGTTATTGGTTAAAATACAATTATAATAATTATTTTAATAATATTTCATAATTTTATAAATCAGGAAATACTTTTCTTTTACCAACAGAAGAATAAATAAAAACCGTATTACTTATTATTTATTTATTTAAGTAAACATATAGGATATTTGAATACTATAGCTTTAAACTTTAATGGAATTTGGATTTCACCATTTTAAAAATTAAGCTTGATATAGTGTAGAGGATATTAAACATATCTTATTAATGTTGTTTATGCATTACATTGAAAATTAAATGTCCAGAAGAATCCATTTTACTTTACTTTTAATATTAGTGTAATTATTATTTAGTTTAAAAGTTAGCATATAATCTATGGTACCCATTTTTTTTCATATATATTTTAATTTTAAAATCAAAATTTTCTGTTATTTATAAAATTGAATTTCCCATAACATGATATGTTAAAAGATGAAAATAGACTGCTAAAATATCTTCTTAAGGATTGGTTATGTATTAGAAATGGCTATATACAGAATATGTAAACTACCACAGCCGATACAAGAAGCTAATAGTCATCAACCGTGTGAGATACAATTATTCAAAGGAGCAGACGAAACACCGGATAAATGTGTAGTTAAAAAATGTACGTTACATGAAAATATATATCATAGACTTTATAAGAAAAACACGTGGATTCATATAGGACATGACATGATGTTTTAACAGTAGGTTGTGATGATGTAATGAAACCATTTATTCAGGAAGTGAAAAATTCAGGAGAGATAACTATAATAGATATGAGTTGTCGAGTATTTACACGAGATGCTGTATTAAATGCAGCAG